TTACTCGGCATGGCGATACCTTTGTCCAGCAATGGACGTAAATATTAGTATTATTATCGAAGTTTTTTTTTGTCTTAGCTCTCTGATCCATGTTTTTCTTTCTGTCTCTCAATATAACCCCGAGCATACAGGGCTCCCTTCCTGCTTAGCATTTCTTCCTGTTGGATTCATGTCTCTGACCCATGTCATGAATGCTCATGTGCACTGATTGAACACGTTATTCTTCAAGCACGTTGGTACGGATTTCTCATCACCAAATTGAGTTGAACAAACGCACTTCGTCCCAATCTTGTAATAATTGCTCTAGTAGGTACGGATTTTCCCATGTGTTTCCTAGCTGTGTGTCATCGTCCCCCATCCACCAGCAATACTTTTTTCTTTACAGTTTTTATTATTTCTACTACGAGAGAGCATACATGACTGCTTCAGTTTCTGAAAAATAAAAGGCCGTTTTACAAAAAACAATCCACAACGCAAAAATAATGGTATTTGAAATGCATGTCTTTTATAGGATGCGTTGGTATTTATGTAGTCAATATGAATTTTCCATAAACAATTCCTCCACTCATTTTATGATTCCATCTCATGCATTCTTATTTTAGCATATATCATAATTCACATCATGGAATTGGTGGTGATATACCAATCACAAACTTTATTTTTTTTTCTGTTTTTATACTGCTATTTTATTGTTAGGACATCTTAAATTTAGTTCTCTGGTCACTAATTTATGTCCAGTCTCTTTGGTTCTTTCGGTAAAGTCATGTAGGTATAAAATAAATTAAATCACGACGTTTCGGGCACAACACAAGCGTCCGTCATCAGGTGGGACAACCACAGCAAGAAACAATTTCTGAAGTGGACAAAAGGGCTGCCCACTTCAACAATTATTTCTTGCTGTGGTTGTCCCACCTGATGACGCTTGTGTTGCGCCGGAAACGTCGTGATTTAATGTACTTTATACCTACGTGACTTTACCGAAATAACCAAAGAGTATGGATCCCTGCAGTCACGAAAACTTCAATTATAGATTATGTCCAGTCTTTTCATGAACATTTCACACTTTCTACGTATACGATTCTTTCCATTTCATCCCTTTTCCTATCTCTCCTTTTATTTAACATGCTTTTTGTTTGCTTTATATAATGGTAATGACTTGTGGATAGAGCATAGCTGATTATGATGATGCAACTTTTCATGTCAGCAAACTATTTTAAGAATAAACTGTATCAAATGGATAAATTGCAACAGTGCTATATTCTCTGTAGAGTAAATTTTCAATTAAATTTAATCATTTTCTCGTTATGTATTTCATGAAAAAAGAATTTAAAACCAAATTCCCTATATGTTTAAATCATCAGCTTAATTTTTAAAGCTTTGGACCCAAAGAGTTACTTACATTTTTTATGGAGATAGCCGTTAAATAAATGTGTCTGAAGATGTTGCTCATCTCATTAAGCTAAAATCTTAGAATGATTATATAAATATAAAAATAATTACGAGTGTAAATCTCAATGGGTGTCTGGGTGACATATTTAAATTCCTTGTGACAACCAGATGCAAATCAGGCCAAATAATGATTTATAATGAACTGCATTAATATTATTACACCACAATATTTAGATTTAGAAATTTTGAAAATTTCAATGACTTTTTACATGTTTCAAAATGACTTTGACATTTGCAAAGTCGTTTAATGATAAATCTGATTATGATTATTGCACGTTTAGATGATAGCAAAATGTAAATATAGCCTATGTAAAGATACACTTATATTTTAAGAGCTTGTTTTAGTCCAACACTAACTTTTTTTGCTATCTTAATTTGTAATGCCATCCTTTTAAGGAATGTCTGCCATACTTTACATGTACACCTCTGTGATTACAGAAACAATTTATCTCAATTTAAATTAGTTTTTTACATGACGATGGTCAAAGTGTGGGAGGTTCAATAGAAGTTAAATTGGAGCATATCTAAATCCGTGTTTTAAATACTTGCATTTTATTTTAACGTATTTAATCATGGACAAAATGTTTCACGTTATTGGTGGTACTCGCTCAGACTTACATTAATATTGTAAAATACCCAATGATTTGTCATCTTACCTGCATTAGTCGAGGCAACTACGGCTTATGATAAATCACTGCTATGAACCCACTCTTTTCAATATCTGGAGAGTACATCTGAAAAACCTTGCACAGATCGCTGAGTTGGTCAGAAATTACCTCTAAATCGAGCACAGCATGGGGGATGAACACAGTCCACCCAATGCACACCCACTCTTAACTCGTAATCAAAGATGACCGACCCATTGCTTTTATCTTATAATGGCATCCCTGCTGACTCAAGACTGATAGAAATCTAAGGCAGGTAAAGTACACATCCAACCCATATTTGTCCAACAGAGAACACGTGAATTTAACCCGCGCATTGGAATTAAATAGCAAACCATATGGCCAAATAGTAACATAGCCCAGTAGAACTGTCAATGTTCTTAATCCTAGTATTTGTACCAATCTATACAAAACAATCATAATGTCATATCGATGCTGTATTTACAGAACACCGATGCAAATTTATAAAACAGAAAAAAGTGATATATTGTTGGTGTTTATGGAATATTTTTCAGGTAGCATTGTGAACAATTTAAATGCATGTTATGAGGATATATTTTACTGGTCTCTTCGTACACTTTCAGTGTAACTGCTCTATCTTTTTACATGGGACAAAAAGTATTGTATCAGTTTGTCTTCCTTTTGTTACATAATTATTGAGGCATCATATCATGACTGAAGCACGGTGTTTCATTTACGTGCAAAATTTTTGTGAATAGGTCCACTGATGTTGATCCAACGCTTCTTTGATGATATCCAGTTTATTCATCGAGTCCAGGAGTTTTCTCTTTTTTAATACCATAAATGACGCTGGTTACCTGTCCAGATGTGACATGGAAAATCCTCCTCCTTACCTGAAACATTTATTTTACTGAGCATGTACCGTTTTTTTTTTGGCGAGAAAGATCGTCGTATAATTATTCCACTTGTCCATGATTATCTCGATGATGGGTGGCATAGAGGTAACACGTGTGCCTCACAGCAAGAAGGTATTTAATTCGATTCCTGACTCATACACCTATCTGTCGGGTTTGTATCTTCTCCCCCTGCTCTGATGGCTATAGAATATATACAATGGAAGAGGTAATCTCGAAAAACATCGCAATGCTGAAAAATTTACTCGTAATTTATTTGATCGTGATTACACGTAGTAGCTGCAACATTTTGGAAAGAACCTCCTGAAATATAGTCTTCAGACTCAGCGAGGCTTTCCTGGGTAAACAAGCGAAATATTACAATATTTAACTGTCATATTGCTATGGTTCCATCTTCCTCTCAAAAGGCCGTCAGGTAAGAGTGTTTCCATTCACTTATTTTTTTATTATTTTCTTGTTGTTATTTTTTTTTCTATCTACGTGATTTTACCGAAAGAACCATGGAATAAGAGTGGTTCCACTTTACCAATACAATATATTTGCTTATTTTAGGCACCCGTTTATAACATCTTCGGCCATAATTATTGTGTATTTTCTTTATTTTCCAATTATATGAATATTGACTCGAGAACAACATTAAGCCGACTTTGCAATCGCCGTAAGTTGCATCATTAGTGTAATGCAGGTTGGTTGGCCTATAGCACCATCTGCTGGTCATGTTATTTATTCTGTTAATCAAATCCTCGTGCACGGTGTCAAGCATCCAGGGTTCGCCTTCAATCTGCTGGGAGAAACCTCTACACTGGCATCACCATAGTCTGCAAGGAGAAACCTCTATACTGACATCATCACAGTATGCAGGGAAAACCTCTACACTGGCATCACCACAGTCTACAGGGAGAACCTCCACACTGGCATCACCACAGTCTGCAGGGAGAACCTCTACACTGGCATCACCACAGTCTGCAGGGAAAACCTCTATACTGGCATCACCACAGTCTACAGGGAGAACCTCCACACTGGCATCACCACAGTATGCAGGGAAAACCTCTACACTGACATCACCACAGTCTGCAGGGAAAACCTCTATACTGGCATCACCACAGTCTGCAGGGAGAACCTCTACACTGACATCACCACAGTCTGCAGGGAAAACCTCTACACTGGCATCACCACAGTCTGCAGGGAGAAACCTCTACTCTGGCATCACCACAGTCTGCAGGGAGAACCTCTATACTGGCATCACCACAGTCTGCAGGGAGAAACCTCTACACTGGCATCACCACAGTCTGCAGGGAGAACCTCTACACTGGCATCACTACAGTCTGCAGGGAGAAACCTCCACACTGGCATCACCACAGTCTGCAGGGAGAAACCTCCACACTAGCATCACCACAGCCTGCAAGGAGAACCTCTACACTGACATCATGACAGTCTGCAGGGAGAACCTCTACACTGGCATCACCAGTCTGCAGGGAGAAACCTCTACACTGACATCACCACAGTCTGCAGGGAGAAACCTCTACACTGGCATCACCACAGTCTGCAGGGAGAACCTCCACACTGACATCACCACAGTCTGCAGGGAAAACCTCTACACTAGAGAGAGATGGGAGGGGGGAAACCTCTCTATTGACATCCACGCGATCTAGAGAGAAATGGAGGGGAGGGAAACCTCTCTACTGACATCCACGAGATCTAGAGAGATGGAGGGAAACCTCTTCATTGACATCCATACGATCTAGAGAGATGGAGGGAAACCTCTCTATTGACATCTACACGATCTAGAGAGAGGAGGGAAACCTCTTCATTGACATCCATACGATCTAGAGAGATGGAGGGAAACCTCTCTATTGACATCCACACGATCTAGAGAGAGGAGGGGAAACCTCTTCATTGACATCTCCCCCGCACGTCATCGTCGTCCCCTCCGCCCCGGAAGTGGCGTGTCGCGGGGTGCTCTGGGTTAGGAGGAGGAGCCTCCCCGGAGGCGGAGCCTCCCGGCGTGCACCGCGCGTCCCCCCCACCCCCCCTGCCCCCCCCTCCGCCGCCACCTCGCCCGGCCATGCCGCCCAAGAAGGTGTCCGCGCCGGCGGCTCCGGGGAAGAAGGCGGACCAGAAGAAGAAGGAGAAAGTGATCGAGGTGAGCGCCGGCGGCGGCGGCGGCAGCGGCGGCGGCTGCCGAGCCGCAGTGGAGGCCAACCCGAGGAGGAGCGGGAGGGGAGGACGTCCATCCCCCCCACCCCCGGAGCGGAGCGGCTCCTCGGGCCTGGCCATTGTGGACGCGTGGCCCAGCGGCGGCGGCGGCCTCGCCGAGAGCCGTGTGTCTCGACAGAGTGTCGTGTCTCGAGTCTCCTGTGTAGTCTCTTCTGTGGTGTCTCTCCTGTGGGGTCTCCTGTATGGAGTATGTCCTGTGTAGAATCTCTTATGTCAAGTAGTCTCCTATGTAGGGTCTGCTGTATGGAGTATGTCCTGTGTAGAATCTCCCTATGTAAAGTAGTCTCCTATGTAGGGTCTCCTGTGTTGTCCTCTCCTGTGTAGTCTCCTGTGTAGAGTCTCCTGTGTCGAGTATGTCCTGTGTAGAATCTCTTATGTCAAGTAGTCTCCTATGTTGGGTCTCTTGTGTCGGGTATGGCCTGTGTAGAATCTCCTTTGTAAAGTAGTCTCCTATGTAGGGTCTCTTGTGGAGTCTCCTGTGTAGTCTCGTGTCCACAATCCTGTTTAACGTCTCCTTTAGGGTAGCCTGTCCGGGGTCTATACTCTATAGAGGCATCTGTAATTGTTCTAAGCAGTGTAAAACGTAGAAAGTAGAAAACTTCGTACAATGTCCCAATTCGTATCTTGTATAGTCTCTTGGCTAGATTCACGTGTCTTTGCCTCTGTACTGATGTCAGTCTCCAGTCTAGAGTCTTTAGTCTGCAGTGGTTAAGCAGTCTAAATTGTAGTCTCCTGTCAAGAGTTTACCTCCTTTATAGAGTAACCTGTGAGTCTTTTAAAGGGGTCACCAGTCCGGGATCTGCAATGTAAAGGCTGTAGGCTAGGCTCTAGGCCTGCAGTTTAGGATCTTCATTTTGCAGTCTAAAGTCTTCGTTATAAGATTTAGATGGATCAACGCAGGAGTGGCAGGGTGTGATGCTGCTGAGCTCCCCGTATAGCGAGCATGTCTCTGGGTGACGTGATAACCTTGTATGTCCTGACCCCGGTTGTGTGATGAGGCTCTCGGGTTAATGTGTTTGTTACTGAGCCAAGTGGAACACCAACAACAGAGAACTCTAGCTATCTTGACAGGTTCTGTCTACTGCCTGTCATTTGTCATGAGGTTTGTGTTGTTGAATTGTTGGTTCGTCACGAAGCATGTGCAGCTTTCTTAGAATAGTGGAATTTCACCGTCTAATATAATCTCAAATTATAAAGTGATAAAGTTAATTATCCTGTTTTTATCAATTGTGGCTTTGACTATGACATATATAACTTATAATTCCTGTATTCTTTGGGTCTTTCGGTAAAGTCACGTAGATAGGTTCAAAGAACATTGTTTGTTATTTTCTTTGAACCTATCTACGTGACTTTACCGAAAGACCCAAAGAATGAATTCCTGCAGTCACGAAAGCTTTAAGTCAAGATTTATAATCCCTGTCTTGGAAATATTTACTGAAATGTGTCTATCCTCTTACCCCCTAGGACAAAACCTTTGGTCTTAAGAATAAAAAAGGAGCCAAACAACAAAAGTTCATCAAGCAAGTTGTTACTCAAGTGAAAAATCCAGGAAATGCCAAAGTGGTATGGTATCTGTTTCTAAATATGTATGTATCACATGTTTCAATGATATGCACTCCGCAAATTACAAATGTTTGCTGTAGTGTATTCGATATTTTAAAAAGAGCCAACCTTGTGCAGTGGAATGTTTTGTTTTGCCTTTATAAAGTAATCTTCCAATTAAATAATGTGAAATTAAAATGAGCGAGGGTAAAATTGTGCAAAACGCGCTCATTGTTTCAGTCGGAAACACGTATGATTATTCCAGGTACCTGCAGCGGATGACAAGAAGGGTAAAAAAGATGACAAGCTGAAAGAAATCGAGGAACTGAATGCACTTTTCAAGCCAGTAGTTGCTGCTCAGAAAGTAAGCAAAGGTAATAACAAGCCTTAAATGTTTCATGCGTTTTTTAATGTCTCAATATTAATTTACAAAAAAAAAGAAATTTTACTTTTCTGTTGTTGAATGGGTCTGATGACATTTTATTCAGCATTCTGGAGAATTGAGACGGAACCTTAACTGTTTCTTTACAGGTGTCGACCCCAAATCAGTTGTCTGTGCCTTCTACAAACAAGGACAGTGTAAAAAGGGAGACAAATGTAAGTTCTCGCATGACCTGTCGTTGGAAAGGAAAGGAGAGAAGCGCAGCATGTATGTGGATGCACGAGATGATGATCTAGAAAAAGGTAAGTGGCTCCCTACTCATTCATCCACTTCAGTGAAAGTTGGATTATACTTTGCATTTTGTGAATGAACACGATTGAAATGCAACGTTGTAATGGCACTTTTATTTAACAGATGACATGGAGAACTGGGATGAGGCAAAGTTGGAAGAGGTCATCAATAAGAAGCATGGTGAAGATGAGCTGCAGAAAACCAAAACAGAAATTGTATGAGCTTCAGTAATTAATAGAAAGCAGTTGAGTTTTACGGTGTTAAAATGTGTGCTATTTGAAGATAGGATTATTCTTATTTTTTTACATGACTTAGAATTTTTTACTGTAAAAGACAAGTAAGTCTGATTAACTATAATCTGCATGTATTTTTTTTCCTGCAGGTTTGCAAATTCTTCCTGGATGCCATTGAGAGCCAGAAGTATGGCTGGTTCTGGAGTTGTCCCAATGGCCCAAGCTGCATGTACCGACATGCCTTGCCACCTGGATTTGTTCTCAAGAAAGAAAAGAAAAAAGATGAGAAAGAGGAGGAAATCTCACTGGAGGACCTCATAGAAAAAGAGGCAAGGCAGACATGAGTCAGAAGTAGAGATTTGAAAACCTACAATATTCAGACTGAACACTTGTAACCTCAAGATGCTAAATTTGCATTGCTCTTACCATTGCCAAGGAGTTTTTTTTTTGCATTAAACTTAGCTTTACAAACTGTCCAAGTAATCTTTCGTGAGTTGGTCCACTTGGATTTTTTTTTTACTATATTTGTGGTGTATATCTATGATATTCTACTTGTGCCACGTGTTTCGAGTTGTAAAACAAGCTCTACAACCGGAAACCCCACCAGAGAGTGTTGTTTGAACATTTAGAAGCAAGCTCTTAACTTTTAAAGACCTTCACAGGATTGTATGACTTTGTGATAACAGAACTGCTGTCTTTTATTTTCCATCACATCATCACAAACAAAATGGTATATTTAAATTGGTTTGGATTTTTGTGTGTTTTCTCAGAGAAATGCGCTCGGTCCAAATGTGACAAAGATCACATTGGAAACCTTCTTGGAGTGGAAAATGAAAAAGAGAGAGGAGAAGGTCGTGAAATTTCAGAAAGCTATGGAGAAGAGGAAAGCAGATTACAAAGCTGGAAAAACACTTGGGGTGTGTATAGATAGACATGAGATGGTATTTAAATCTACAATTTTTGTTACGGTGATTACGAGTGTTTTAATGCTCTTGTTATGCGTGTGCAGATTAGTGGACGAGAGGTGTTTGAGTTTCATCCAGATCTGGTCAATGCTGATGATGAAGAGGCAGATGAGACAGAATATGCACCACAGTCAGATGATGAGGTATGTCGAGTTATATTTTAGTCACAAATACACACTTTAAAAAGCACATGATTTTAAATGTCAACAAAATGTTTCTTTTTTTTGTCAAATGTTCCATTGAAAGTTATAAGCTTTGCTGATTTTTGTTACAGATGGAGGATGAGGGGGATGTGAATGAGATAGACGAGAGCAGGTTTGTGGAGAAGGAGGTGGACATTTCAGGAATATCGGTCTCTCGGAAAGAGGACAGGTTCAACAACGTGCCATCCCGAAATGCAGCATCTGCTGATCAGGGTACGTTAAAAGAGTGCAATATATACACACATCTATTTAATATGTTTTTGTATTTTGCAAGTGCATAATTTGCAGTAGAGTTTAGCTTTGAAGAATTATTGGATGGTGAGGTGACTTCCCATATTCCCAAACACTTTATTGGTGCCCTATTTAACAATATTTCCATGGCAATATAGCACTCAGTCTAGGAGCTCGACATTACCTTTCCAATCTTGCCATTATCTTCCCAATGCAATAGTTATGCAAGTGAATACGATTTGTTTTTTGTGTCATTCTGAGTGCCTTTTTCAATATTTACCGACAAGCGGTATTCATTGAGATACCTTTTCACGCTATACGCATTGAAGTCTTATTACAGCATTGGCACATGAAAATGTTCTCATTAAACACAAAAGGGCCACATTGTATTCCACAGAAAATATTATTTGACACTAACATAATGTAGTATACAAAATAACTGTCCTTTTAAGTCATTGTATCGTGCTCGGTTTGGCAAAGCACTTGTGGGGTTGTCTTAACTGTTCATGTGTGGTTCCGATACAGAAAGCCACAAACTTGCAGAGGCATGTGGTGGTTCTGAGGATCATGCCAGCAATGGAGAGCACCTGGAGCCATCACTGGACAGCGGTCAGATTGATGGTGTGCCTGTGGATGAGAATCTCTTCACTGGAGATGACCTGGAGGACTTGGATGAGGAACTTGAAAACCTTGATGTTGACGATTAGAAATTAAAGAAGAAGAAGAAATTTACCTTTTTGAAAAAGAAAAACAGTGCTAAATTTTCATTTATTTACTGCATTGATAATTAGATTCCATTGAAGCCACAGATGCCCAAATGCTACAGCTAGGACTGGATGTATGGCATAAAACCTGTTCATCAATGATGGTATTAAATAGATGTCAATCAAATGTAAATATGGTGGGTAAGAGCCATTGCATTATTTTTCCTTCAGCAATCAGCCAGCATTGACAACGTTTATTTTAATAGGTAAATATTACAGAGCCTTGAGTTTATTTCAAGCTCCTGTTATGCCGTTTTGATTGGATTTAAGCCACCTGAATATTTTTTCTTCACGAGTGAAGCATGAGTGTTTTAATTTGAATAAAGTTGAACCATAAGTGATTTCATATAAACAGACTGGCTATTACATGTACATTCTACCATATGTACACTGGTATGTGATGGATTTAGGTATCACCCATTACAGGTCTGTTAAAGATTCTGAATAAAGCGATGCAACAACGTTCATGCTTTTGGTGGTGGACAGTACAATGATCTAAGCCGTGTATTTCACAACTTTTATACATTTAAATGAAGGAGGCTGCAGTGTATATATGTATGTTGAACTTTTGCACCGTACGTGGCCAACCATCTTAATCGAATGTGCGATCAAACTTTTACATTAATAAATTTGTACTGTATGGAAAATTACGGCCAGTTAATGGAAAGTTGCTGATTATTATCGATCCCTAGTGCTAACATGTAAATATTGATCAATTAAGATTGTGGCTCATGTATAGTACGTTGAAGCACGTAGTTTTACACTGCTGATATAACCAAAAATACTTTATACGCCTTATGACCAAATCATTTGGAATTAACCCAAACTCCATAGCTCCTGGATAGAGCTTTGACCACCATGCATAAAACTACCAGGAAAACCCTCCCCATGTGTCAATAACACTGCCTTAAAATTTTAAATGTAAAGGACAATAGATGTTTGGGGCAATGGATTTTCATGGCACTGGTGATGAGTGCACACAAAGGGCCATAAAACGTTACCTATGTTTACATTCAAGGCAGTGTTAACGAATGTGCGGTTTTTAGTGATGTGCTTGAGTACCACTGCCAACACAACATATACTTCAAAGTAGAGCTCTTTAACGACTACCGTTAACCGTTTTCAGAATCGATTACAGATTGAAAAATGTATTTTTTTAAGTAATTTAACTAATGCCTCTTGGCATGCACGAACATACAAATAGCACGGTGTTACATTAGTCCTCGTTTCTCAGTGATCAAGTTAAAGGTGCATTCGCTCATGTTACTGCTGGCGGAGAACCCTCCACTAATTCTAGATTTGAAGCTTTCGTGACTGCAAAGAGTATGAACCCTCCACTAGATGGAGCTACAGGATGTAATTAATCTACTTTCCCACTGACCAGATGTGTTGCGAGAGGTGGGTGTACCCACAGTGCACGCGACCTACCAAGTGACTGTTGACCCAAATTATACTGCGAGAGAGACGGACAGGGGAAGGGGGTATGGGATTTCGGAACCTTGATTGCTTCAACTACCGTGCCGGGAGATGGAATCGAACCGGTGATGTCTGAATGACAGGTGAAGCGTGCTGACCATTCCACCGGTCTGGAAGCTCCCTTCGTTTCACACTACAGGCAGACCTCACCGAACGCGGGGGTTACGTTCTTGGAAAATGCCGTGTTGGGGAAAACTGGGTTCGACAAATAATAAAACTTAAGGGAAAACTAGGGTTGTGTTCTTGGGTCCAAAATTATCACCCCATCTCTAACTCATTCTACTTGATTGCCACCCTTGTTATTGTCTAAAGGATGCTGAGTCGCTCTACATTCCTTCTGTGTGTGTACCCTCTGTATTTTTCAAGTCCACAACACAAAACCCCCGTCTCCATCCCTCTTCCCGCACCGCGGCACTCTCACGCCCGTCGCTCGCCCCCCTGACCCCTGTCACTTGAACGTGTTGATGATGATTCACCATCGAGATGTCCGTCTGGCTGACGTCCTCAACGATTGGACGGCTACATGCATGCTGCAATGTGTGAACATTTGCGTTGTGCGTCTTGGAGTGAATTACATTATCACACAAAACACACGCACATGGTAAATGAATTGTTTTGATTTAAAGCTTTCGTGACTGCAGGGATTCATATTCTTGGTTCTTTCGGTAAAGTCACGTAGAAGAGAAACAATGAAATAAAAATATAAAACAAAATTCTCACGACGTTTCGACTGCAACACAAGCAATCATCAGGTGTAAAAACCACAACAAGAAAATTTGAAAAAAGTAGCTGTTATTTTTTACGTTAGCACCACGGAGAGAGATTTGACAGTTTGTTCAGATGGTTATTCCGACTACACAATCCGCAAAGCTATCACTCCAACCATGAAGAAGGACCCTCTTGAGGAGCCTTGCAAAACCATCACTTTACCCTACATTGCGGGGATCACAAAAAAGATCTCCAAAATCTTGAATAAACACAAGATCCAGGTCCGATTCAACACATTACATAAAATCCGTGATCTGGTTCCGTCTGTAAAAGATGTGATTCCAGACATACAGTACCCTGGCGTCTACAAACTAAGTTGCCTCTGTGGTAGTAGTTACATTGGAGAAACCATACGACATGTCTCGGACCGGATTCGTGAACACAAAGCAGACCTGAAACACGGTAGGACCAACGCCGTGGCAGATCACTGTTATAATTCAGTAGGTTCACATGACATTGACTTCTCCAAGACAGAGGTTCTTTGAAAGCCATCTGGCTACCATGAGAGATTCGTTCATGAGGCTATCCCCATATACAAACAGACAATTTCAACTGAGAAGATGGATTCTGGCTTAGCAATCATTGGAAGGATTTGATAAACCATTTCGGGTCTTAATTGATTGTTCACGCTTAAGGTGGCTTTCAGACTGCATCCATTATTTTCGTCTCCCCCCTCCTCTTTTCCGAACATAGATGGACTCGTACATCTGAACAAACTGTCAAATCGCTCTCCGTGGTGCTAACGTTAAAAAAACACCGCCACTTTTTTAAAATTTTCTTGCTGTGGTTTTCACACCTGATGATGATTGCTTGTGTTGCAGTCGAAACGTCGTGATAATTTTATTGTTTTATATTTTTATTATTTTATTGTTTCCCTTCTACGTGACTTTACCGAAAGAACCAAGAATAGAAAAATGAATTGTTCTCACGGTCGATTTATTCACTCCTTCCGACGGATGCAGCACTCTCAGGGCACTTCTTTTCGACGACGAAATAAGAATCTTAGCGGGCGCCAAGTCACGTAGAGCCGAAACATCAGTTTTCAGTTTCTTTATTTTGGTATAGCCCCGTGAGCCATTCGGCTCTTGAATCGGGTGCAACCGCAACTAAACCAAAAAAAAACACGAACAAGAAAAAACATTTGAAGTGACTACGTGTTGACTGTGCATAGTCACTTTGCACAGTTACAAAGGGAGCTCGAGAAGGGTAAAAGGAGAGAGCACGAGAGGAGGTGACGAGCTTCAAGAGCCAAGAACGAAGCCTGGACCGACCCGGCGCTGTGGTTGTGTCTTGATACAAGAAGCCCCCCTCGTAGACAGCCGTCCATACAGTTCGCTTCAAAAAACACATTCTCCTGTGGAGGGAGCTGGAAGGAACGTTGGGTTGCTCGGTCAATGGCCAGGGTCAACAGCGGCGGCACCACGTGGTGTATTCCGCACAATATGCCCGACTGTGAGGATGGGCACAAGCTGGCGTAAGTAGGTTAAACATTGAGTTTTATAAGGGCACCACGGGGTGACCAGCCCCTCCCCACCCAGCCCCCACCCAGCCCCACCCTCCCCACCCAGCCCCTCCCCACCCAGCCCCTCCCTACCCAGCCCCTCCCTACCCTCCCCTCTCCACCCAGCCCCACCCCTCCTACGTGGACAGACATCCACAGACATACACAATTAATCCCCTGCCTCCTGTGAATTAATCCCGGTTGGGCTTCCAGTCCACTACGTTTCCTACCAGTAAAATGTTAACACTTAAATGGGATGGTTCAATCCAGATTTGAAGTTTTCGTGACGGCAGGGAAAATAAAACGTTGTGATTTAATTTAATCTATTTTATACCTACGTGACTTTACGGAAAGAACTAAAAGAGTACTTCAATGGGACTTTCGTTTTTTATGGAAAAAGATTGAATAATACAACACTGTAACGTGATAACAAATGTAACGTTAATAGCTTCAAAAGGTCAAGGAGTCTCCCACTTTGTTCGCCATCATTGTCAACGCACGCCTGGGACTCATTTCTTGTGGGTATTTGCGAGTCATTTCACTTATATGTACACGTCGTTGAATTATTTTTTAGTTTCACTATATTTGTTTACTCTTCCCCTGTGCTTTGCACCGTCCGTTGTTTGTTGTTCTGACCCCGGTAGGCCTCCGACTGGACGTCTATACCAAAAAAAGAGCTTCATAGCTCATCAGATTTCTCCGCCTCCTTCTGCTGCTGCTGCTGCTGCAGTCTAAATACCAAACATCCTGTGACAAGACTCGGCGTCCGGCTCGCAAAGACGGACGACGACGAGGAGGTGTCACCACTGCGACGAATCACCGCTCTGATACCTCGATTTACGAAAGAGTCTAGTTCCAGAGGTCTGTGCTCGTAAGTCGATTTGCTCGTAAATCTCAACTTTACTCCTGCCGATTTCAAACAAGTTGTACGGCATGTACACTAAACACGGGGAATGACTTTAGAAGTCATATCATCTCCTGCAGATGCCACTGGTTCTTCATGTTCTGCAGATGTAGATGCTACTGGTTTTTCGTGTTCTGTAGATGCCACTGCTTCTTCGTGTTCTGTAGATGTATATGCCACTGGTTCTTTATGCAATCCAGATGTAGATGCCACTGCTTCTTCGTGTTCTGTAGATGCCACTGGTTCTTAATGTACTCCAAATGTAGATGCCACTGGTTATTCACGTTCTGTAGATGTAGATGCCACTGGTTCTTCACGTTCTGTAAATGCCACTGATTCTTCACGTTCTGCAGATGTAGATGCCACTGGTTCTTCACGTTCTGTAGACGTAGATGCCACCAACCCCCGCGTTCGGGAAAACGCACCTCATTGGGTAAAACGGTGTATAACCGAGACACGCGTCTGATAAAGCCGCGTTGGGCGAAGTTTTGCCGTTACATAGAGTACTGTTTAACAAAAAGTTGTGTTTGCTGGCGCGCGTGCTGGACAAGTACACATTGGTGCCAGCACCGCAGCCTTCACCCCGGTCGTGTTTCCCAGCGCAAATGCGCGCACAGTGCCAGTCTCCGTTTAAAAAAAAACAAAGGTTTAAGGAATGTCATGTTTATTGCTAGCAATCATTCTGTTACCGATAATGAAAATCACAATGATGTCGACGACCCTGCAATAACAGCATAACTCGAAATAAGCAGGGTTCGCGTGGAGACTATGCATAATATAAATAGGCAAAGTCACCTTATTTGTTTTGTGATGCAT